TCCATTTGGTTTCAAAATTTCTCAATTGTACCACTATACACCAGACATTTTTATCAGTGGATCTATTTATTATTATTTTAAAGTCTATTGTGTCTCTCAAAATTACAATTACCCCGCCAGTGTGTCTACTATACGAGTCGCATCTAATAAACTGATAAGTTGGAAACTTGATTTCGGAGTCGTTTATTTCCTCTGTTGTACATGTTTCGGAGCATAAAACTATATCCGGATCAACAGTCTCAAGAAGCCTTTCAAGCTCGGCTTTATTGGCTATTATACTATTTATATTAAGATACACGCATTTTAAGTAACTGTTACGCTTTTCCATTACACCTAATTGCTAACATCCTACTCTTTGTTTCTCTAGTTTCAGTTTCCTAATATAGACAGGACATTCACGACTAAATGCGTTGTGCGCTACATCCAGGTTTAGCCCTAACTCTTTAACAGCATCACAACAATTTCCACAAACTTCTTTTTGGCTACTGTCAGTGCAACTTTCAGACTTGTGCTCTCCCATGCATTTGCTACACCGAAGCTTTTTGTTACAGTTGTTACGAGCTATGGTTGAAGCCCAGACACTTGTAGCATCTTCTCACGGTTTGCCCATCATAGACGGGGCATCGATCCCACCCAATATTAAGTCTCTTTGACTTCAATACCTGCAGGAAGAATTTGTGCTCAATTTCTATTATTGCACTGAATGAAGGAAATGCCTCACCACAACGCCTGGACTTAAATATTTTTACACATCTCAAACTCGCATCATTTAAATAGCTATTCTGAGCTTTTATCTTATTTATTATCTCCGTCTCAGAATATTCAGCGTTTATGTGCGCTAACAAAATTTTAGGCGTATTAACTTTGGGTTCGGTGATATGCGACCAAAGACACAGATAAAAATGATAAAAAACAATCCAGTCCCGGATCCCTGCACGGATAAAAATATCGCTGACGGACACAACGTTAAGCCCGTAAGTCCCTCCGCGCTCACCACCGGCTCCAACGTACCCCTCGAGGGACCCAATGAGCCGGAGACTGAGGCGCCAAGTAGGCCTGAACGGCAGATTGAAATAGCTTGTCGGCCCTCCATGTCCAAAGCGGCAATGGACAAACCCCTCGAGTGTAGTTCAATGGCGGCCGCGCCTGAGGAGGCACCCGGCACTAAAGAGCCCGTTACGGGCGAGGTAGTTGATAGGCCTGGTGCCAAGCGAGAAGTCCCTAACCCTAAAAGGCTGCGGCAACAAATCCTCCCTCCGGCGGCTCGAGGGCGAAGAAGTACGTTCGTCTGGCCGTGAAGGCGTAACGGGACCTGAGAGCCTCCTCAAGGCTTCTCGCGAAATTTTTCGAAAATCCTGCAAACCAGGAACAGAAGGAGCTGGTGGAGTGGTCCAAGGGCATCCTTGGCGTAAGCCGGAAACGGAGGGAGAGCATGGACGCCCCCACTAACCACGAAGCAGCTTCCAAAACTCCCAACCGATCGGGTTCAAAGAGGAAACGGTCAGTGGATAACAGCACTGAGCGGGAACCTAAAAAGCCCAGATCTATGAATTCTTCCGGCGCTATTAACCCTTTTCGGGCACAAAGAGCCTTCAATGATGTCGCTAAAGACCATCTGGTCCTAGCAATTATTGATAGGGAACAACCGGGCCTCTGCCGTGTCTACAAGGAGATTCTGGGCAAAAACCCATAAATCCCCTGTAGTCCGGGACGCGGGCCTTTACCAGGGCCGCATAAAATTAGTTTCCTATGCCAACGAAAGGTCGGTAAAACTATATAAGGAAGCCATAGCCGTGCTGGGTGAACTGTGGGTCGGCGCAAACCTGGCGGCCGTACATAGGGAGGAAATTCCTTGCAGGCCCCGGGCCAGGGCCTCGGTGCCAGAAGAACTCTCCAAGCTCGAAGGCATCTTGGAGATAATCCAGCTCTCCAACGATTCATTACCAACCCTTGATCGGAGAGTAGTGAAGGTCAGCGAGGTGAAGGATCAGCAGAGATATATCACACTTTTGATAATCGAGGAGTCTCTGCCCATCCCCGCAGCAAAGAATGGGGTAATAAGCTACGGCTTTTACTCCATAACCCTCAAAACCCAAAACGGGAATGAGGGCATTTCCCAACACACGGAAGACACTACAAGTGAACCCGTGGCTTCCAAACCTGCTTCTCAAGACGACTCTATGAAAGGGGAGAGTGAACCAGTTTCGCTCCAGGGAAACCTGGACGGACAAGTGGAGACTCAGACCCTTGAGTCAAATGTGGGCACGGATAGCGATGCTAGTTCCGTGACTAGCCGTTTAGGATCTATTTTCAATCGATGAATCGAAATCTCGGAGTACCAGCTCCTGGCATCGGGCGATAAGGATGCTGACGTAACGGTAGTAGCGCCCAAGGACGACAGTCAGGACACAATGGACGGCGAGATCATGGTGTGGGTCTTACAAATTAACCTCCAACATTCGAAGGCAACATCGGCTGCTCTGCTCCTGTACCTCGACGAAAGAGGGGAGGAGCTCGTGTGGCAGGTAAGACCAGATCATGCATTTTAATAAAGACAACTTTTTCTTATCTTCTACTCACACAGTTTAGTGACGAGGACACGGTGAGCATAAGCGTGGAAGTACGGTCCAAACCACTTTGGCTGGTCTCATCGTAAATGGCACACGACCACGCAACTTATCCCCCGACCCGATTTCGGGACGTTGTGAAAGAGGCCAATAAAAGTAAGTTTCCAATCGTCATGGGTACCGATGCGAACGCACATCATTCGCTGTGGGGGTCTCTTATCGACTTTATTTTTTCAAAAAGCTCAGCAATTTGTAACATCGGAAGTAGGCCAACTTTTGTAACCTCTAACAAAAGGGGAACTAGACATTTCTCTTATGTCGGATAGTTTTTCGAAAAATATTAGTGAGTGGCACGTCTCAAATGACCACTCATTTTCCGATCACAGATACATAAATTTCACGATCTCTTTCGAACCATCGTCTTCAGTCGCTTATAGAAATAGGAGACGAACCGACTGGAACAAGTTTAGGAGTTTACTCTCGGGCCTTCTTTTAAGAAGCGCTTCTCACAGCGTGCTTCTCTCGATGGACTAGATTCATCGGAAAAAATTTAAGAAGTAGTGGACCATCGAAACCTGTAACTCGGATTTTTCCGCCTCCTAATAATAATAATATAATAGATTGGCGCTTACACATATGTTAGTGTTTGGCCGAGCTTCTCCTCCGATTTGTGGCGTGCGCCTTGATGTTGTCACACAAAGCGGAGGGACCTACAGTTTTACGCCGACTCCGAACGGCGATTGTATTTTTATGAGAAGCTGTTTTTCATAGCAGAAATATACTCGGGGGTTTGCCATTGCCTGCCGAGGGACGACCGCTGTTAAGAAAAAACCTTTTTTCTATATTTTTGCGATGTTGCTTTGACCAGGGTTTGAACCCCGGCATTGTGGAGTGGAAGCGCGCACTGCTTACCACTTCACCACAGCGGCCGACCCTATCATAATTTCGATGGGGAAAAAGAAGGCACACTGGTGTAACGAAAAATCGCCTCCCTGTGGAAGGAAAGAAGGGAGGTCTTTAATAAGGCGGAAAGATATCGCACACCGTCTTCAAAAGAGTCACAACTCAAAATTTGGCATTTTTGAAATTATGCACTAAAAATGTACACAGGCCTTTTATTTACCTTTCAGCAAAAGCTGGAGCAAATATTTGTTATAATTTGTTAAAAAACCTGAGTGTTAAAACCTCAAAGTAGTATCTTTAAGGGAGACTTATTTTATTCTAATTCTTATTGAATATATTCCTTCTTTATATACTGCTCTTACTAACTAATTACATTTGTTTGTGTGAAGGCCTGATTTGACACTCAAGTACATAGTTTACGACTATGTGTGATAGCAGAATTTTAATAGTTTTCTTTTTCAAGTGCATACACTTATAATTACTTATATGATATAATATGTATGTATGTTTGTTTACAGTTTTAATGTTTGTTTGTATGTATGTATATAATAAATGTATATGCACTTGACTGTATTTTTATGTGTTTAAATTTTGTGGGATTTTTCCTATGAATTTTCTTATCGGCTAGATATAAATAAATAGAAAATGTGTTCAAAGATATTTGAACATATTGCCGAGGGAAAAGAATATAAATGTGCTATTTTCGAAATGTTAATAAGTGGACTGTATGTGTACATGTTTTTATATCCGAACATTTTGCGAGCGTGAAAAATTTATAGTAAATTTTATCTTTTGATTTACATTTGTATATGACATAAAATATTAAAAGGCATATGACAAGTAAAACTATTAGTATTAGGGCCAAATGTCCGCTATGATTTTTTAAGTTTAGGTTGCTTATCTCTAGTTCATTTTTGGCCAATTTTTCAATATCCTTTTTGAGTTTGTCTAACTCCTTGTTGCTACTTATATTGTTGATTTGTAGTGGAACTATCCTGTCCTCAGAAATGCTGTGTATGGCTGTGGCTATTGGATCCTGTTCTGCATTGATTGTGCTCTGCATTTTAAATATTTGTAGACCTGATAGGGTTAAGCCTTCATGTCTGGCTGTGCAACCAGATTTGATGAAAAGAATACCTTGCGCTGGAATTTCCATTATTTCTGTTTTTCAGTTTCCGCAGTCTAAATGTAGCGTATAATTTCGGAATATTTTGTAAATCCATTTATTTTCTTGGGATAGTTCCACCCATAAGGGATCTTTCTTTATTTCTTCATATTGGCAGTCTACAAGGCTTCCTTTTAACAGTGGAGATAGTTCACAAGTCTGATGCAGGTTGCCATGGCGATTTTCCTTTACATATTAGGTGATTATTTAAACTTCTGGTGCATTTATTCAGTTGTGCTTGTGAGATTAAAAAATATGAATTGAGACCAAAGTTATACATCAAAAATTCATTTCTTGGTTTTATCTTTACGATTTTTTCTGTGTGCTCAAATGGAATCGCTATCAGTTTGTATATTTCTGACGATTCACTGTGCATAAGTGCTATCAGCCTTAATTACCAGCTTGTTATCGATTATGAGTCCATTTGCTCTCATAAGGTTGTATACATCGCGGATTTGGTTGTTATCTTGCTGTCCAGGTATTTGTAGTTTTGATGGCAGCTTTTCTCTAATGAGGGTCAATTCTTTGTTAAGTTGTGTAGGGGTTATGAGCGCAGGGTTAATTCGTCCATGGTTCAAATCTATTAACAATTCAATTATGGAATTTTGAATCTTCACATTTGCTCAATAAAATGGTGACTTGGGTTATTAGCATCTGGAACTGGATCGCCATTTTATCTCTGTTGATGTTTTTGATGATTTCCGACTGATATCTGTTTATTTGTGTGTTTATTTTTATAAATTGCATATTTACTTCATCAACGATTTTGTTTATAATGTTTGCCGTAGAATTTATCAATGACACGAACTTTTAATCTCGCTTTGATGTTATGCTGGTTATTTAGCAGTAATCTAAAGTTGGATTCTATTTGCTCTTCGCTGTCAGCATCCATTAGCCCAAATAGCATATTATAAATAGAGCCAATCCATTCAAAGGGAGCCCTACGTTGCCTTTTATTGTACACGATTAAATCGTGACTACTTTTTATCACTTCATACCGCCTTCCTAGTGACAGCGATATAACCGTGCAGGCTTCCTCGAAATCTGACAACAGGTTGCAATGATTTTTTATTCGATGTAGACAGCCTGGCATCATAGATTACCAAATCCCAATTCGAAGTTATGACGTCCATCTTTCCCAGTGAATCCAAATAGATAGCTGTGTTGTCTGGAAGTTGAGCCACTACTCCATTGCTTGCTGTTTGACCACCGACTGCTTTGACTTCATTTTTCGACGTTATGCAAAACAGGAACATGATTATAAGAGCAAATATGTTTTTATTTGTCATGTGTTTTGGCGATTTAGTTGACCTTAATGTAGTCAATACTCGCGCTTTTGTTTCATCCGTTGACTTTTCCCTGATTGCTGCCTGACGATGTAACTAGGGGACATAGTTTATGGATTGGTCGTTTCAGCACACTATTCTGTAGTTTAAGCGTTACTACACGAACTTTTCCATCCAGTCCTGGATTACATTCCGTAACTCTACCAAGCGGCCATTTAGCTGGTTGAGTATTTTCATCCTTTACGATTACAACATCACCTTCTTTTAAATTTTGCTGTGATGTTTTCCACTTGTTTCTTTGCTGAAGTGTGTGTAGGTATTCCTCCTTCCAGCGTTTCCAAAAATCACGTTGAATTTTTTGTATTACCTTCCATTTGTTTAAAGTGGATATATTTATGTCAGATTCTGGTGTTGGTATGGATATCAGTGGTCTCCCAACTCTACTCTACTCCGTTTTCGTCATTTAAAGTATATAATGGACGTGAGTTTAATGATGCATCAATCTGTGCTAGGACGGTTGCCATCTCCTCAAACGTCAGCTTTGTTTCTCCGATTGCCCTTTTTAAGTGAAATTTCATCCCTTTCACACCAGCCTCCCACATTCCGCCAAAATGTGGCCCTGCCGGGGGGATAAAATGGCAAGTAATTGCTTCATTAGCTAAGATTGGTGCAACTTCACAGTTTTGTTTTACTGCTTTTTTAAAGTCGTTGTCGAGCCATCTGCTTGCACCCACGAAATTAGTTCCATTGTCGGAGGAAATGTGTAGAGATTTTCCTCGCCTGACAAAAAATCTTCTTAGTGCCGCCAGAAATGCTTCTGTTGATAAATCGCTGACTGCTTCCAAATGTATGGCTTTGGTCGAAAGGCAAACAAATACAGCGATGTATCCTTTGAATGATTTTTGTCCTCGCCCTTTAGAACACCTCATTTGAAAAGGTCCGGCATAGTATACTCCAGTATATGTAAAAGGACTGGATGTCGATACTCTGACTAATGGAAGATCACCCATGATTTGCGTTGCAGAAATTTGNATACTCCAGTGTATGTAAAAGGACTGGATGTCGATACTCTGACTAATGGAAGATCACCCATGATTTGCGTTGCAGAAATTTGTTTAAATCGTATGCATTTGACACAGTTACGTATACAATGTTTCACTGCGTTTTTTAGGCCGATTACCCAGTATTGTCGTCTGATGACTGCTTCCGTTAACCGATTTCCTCCGTGTATAGTTGCATGATGAGCATCTTTAATAATTATGCCGCCAAGTTTGGTTTTGGTAAGATTATGGGATGCTTTGCATTATATGGTAGCCTACCTCCCACTCTTATTATGCCATTTTCATCTAAGAAGGGGTTGAGGTTTGCTATTTTGCTAGAACTATTGACTGGTTTTCCATTACACAGTTTGCTTATTTCTTCTTTATAGGTTTTCCTCTGTGTTTGGCGAATGATCGTCGAAGTAACTGTCTGAAGCTCCCCAGCCGATAGATGTGAAAATTGGCGTGTTTCCTTCTTTTTACGAAAGCGTAAGATGTATGCTACCACTCTTTGTAGTTTTAGCCAACTTGAATATTTGTTAATTAAATTGTTCAAAAAAGATTATTGATCCCTCGACGTCAATAAAACCGTTACTTTGTTGCATTCGTTTATCGTTGTTGACTCTTGTTCTTCTGTTGATGAAAGCCACTTGGGTCCGTTCCACCAAATATCCATATTTAATAATTTGGGAGATGGAATACCTCTTGACGGAACATCTGCTGGATTGTCTTTCGTGTTCACGTGTCTCCAGGTTGCTTGTGGTATAAGTTTTTGGATTTCTTCCACTCGATTTCTAATGAATTTGTCTTTTTTTTTATGATTTTCAATCCAGCCAAGGGTTATTGTTGAATCACTCCATGCATAAGCTTTATGATTCCTCGCAATGACCATGCAAACTTCATTAATTTGGCTAGTAAATGAGCAGCACAGAGTTCCAGCTTAGGTAATGTTTTCCGATTTTTTAGTGGATTAACTTTTGTTTTGGCAGTTAAAAGTTTTACGGAATCGCCAACTTTGATATATATCACTGCAGCGTACGCCTTTTCGGAAGCATCACCGCATCCGTGAATTTCTACTTAACATTCCATGTTAGTTTCAATCCAGCGTGGAATACGTACTTCTTCCAATATGCCAACAGTGTCAATAAACGACTTCCATTCATTTTGTAGATCATCAGAAAGCTGTTCGTCCCATCCAGCCTTTCCAATCCAAAGTTTTTGCATGTATAATTTTGCAACCACAATGATTGGCGATAGCCAGCCCAATGGATCAAATATTTGGGCGATTTGTGATAAAATACTTCTTTTTGTCATTTTCTTCGGCATTTCCAAATTAATTTTGAACTGGAACTGATCTTTCTTTGGATCCCAGTATAGCCCAAGTGTTTTCACTGCTTCATTTTCTTTTATTTGAATTATTTCATTTTCTCCCATGGTGGTGATATTTTTGGTAATATTGTCGCAATTCGATAGCCATTTCTTCAAATGAAATCCAAATAACTGAAGGTGCTTGCTGATTTCTTTTTGGATCATAATACATTGATTCACCGAATCTCCACCAGTCATGAGATCATCCATATAAAAATCTTCCTTTATGATTTTTTGTAGCCAATTGTTTTTACTTGAGCACTTGTTGGCAATTTCAAATAATGTGCGCACTGTTAAATATGGTGCTAAAGCGGTACCATATGTCACTGTCGTCAACTCGTATTCCTCTATTTTATTTGAAGGATGTTCCCGCCACAAAATTCGATGATACACTCTATCTTTTTCCGAAATTTTAATTTGCCGGAACATTTTTTCAACATCAGCTGTGATTACCACTTTCCATAGTCTCCACTTGAGAANTTGGTTTTTGGTATAAGTTTTTGGATTTCTTCCACTCGATTTCTAATGAATTTGTCTTTTTTTATGATTTTCAATCCAGCCAAGGGTTATTGTTGAATCACTCCATGCATAAGCTTTATGATTCCTCGCAATGACCATGCAAACTTCATTAATTTGGCTAGTAAATGAGCAGCACAGAGTTCCAGCTTAGGTAATGTTTTCCGATTTTTTAGTGGATTAACTTTTGTTTTGGCAGTTAAAAGTTTTACGGAATCGCCAACTTTGATATATATCACTGCAGCGTACGCCTTTTCGGAAGCATCACCGCATCCGTGAATTTCTACTTAACATTCCATGTTAGTTTCAATCCAGCGTGGAATACGTACTTCTTCCAATATGCCAACAGTGTCAATAAACGACTTCCATTCATTTTGTAGATCATCAGAAAGCTGTTCGTCCCATCCAGCCTTTCCAATCCAAAGTTTTTGCATGTATAATTTTGCAACCACAATGATTGGCGATAGCCAGCCCAATGGATCAAATATTTGGGCGATTTGTGATAAAATACTTCTTTTTGTCATTTTCTTCGGCATTTCCAAATTAATTTTGAACTGGAACTGATCTTTCTTTGGATCCCAGTATAGCCCAAGTGTTTTCACTGCTTCATTTTCTTTTATTTGAATTATTTCATTTTCTCCCATGGTGGTGATATTTTTGGTAATATTGTCGCAATTCGATAGCCATTTCCTCAAATGAAATCCAAATAACTGAAGGTGCTTGCTGATTTCTTTTTGGATCATAATACATTGATTCACCGAATCTCCACCAGTCATGAGATCATCCATATAAAAATCTTCCTTTATGATTTTTTGTAGCCAATTGTTTTTACTTGAGCACTTGTTGGCAATTTCAAATAATGTGCGCACTGCTAAATATGGTGCTGAAGCGGTACCATATGTCACTGTCGTCAACTCGTATTCCTCTATTTTATTTGAAGGATGTTCCCGCCACAAAATTCGATGATACACTCTATCTTTTTCCGAAATTTTAATTTGCCGGAACATTTTTTCAACATCAGCTGTGATTACCACTTTCCATAGTCTCCACTTGAGAATAATATCAAACACATCCCTTTGAAGTTTGGGTCCTGTCAACATGATATCGTTTAAGCACTTTCCATTTGAAGTTTTGGCTGACGCATCAAACACAACACGAAGTTTTGTAGTTAATTTATTCTCGCGTATAACAGCCTGGTGTGGCAAATAGTATTTACCATTTACCTTCTCGTTTGCTTTTATCATATGCCCAAGGTTTTGGTATTCGTGAATGAATTCCTTGTAATCATTGCCAAGCTTTTCACTCTTTTTGAAATTGGCTTCCATGGATAGCAGCCGAGCAATTGCCTGTTTACGAGAGTCACCCAGCTCCATGTCGTCTTTAAATGGAATTTCCACAATGAATCGCCCATCTGCATCTTGTTTAGTGGTTTCCTCGAACTTTTTCAAACACATTTCGTCTTCCACTTTAGCTTCTTCATCTTGTTCTTCCTCTAGCTCCCAAAATCTCTCAAGGTTGGTTACTGCCGATGTGACTTTGCCTGGTTTCTTTTGTTTAATTATTCCAGACAAAATCCAACCGAATTTGGTAGCTTGTGCAAGAACTCCATTGTGCTTTTTATTGCCTCTTTCTATTATTCTGCCGAATATATAACCACCAATCACTATGTCAATTCTATCAGCTTTGTTAAATAATGGGTCAGCAAGAGTGTAGTTTTCCCATTTTTTAAAGTTGAACCTGAAGGATTGATCAGGTTGCGCAGTTGTAAGGGTTGATAAAACTATGGCATCCACTTCTTCGACGTGCTGGCTTAGAAAACGTGATGTAATTTGCACTTTAATTTTAAATTTCGATTCACCAACCACAACATCTCCTAGGCCATGAAGTTTTGTCATCACTTTTTTCTTTGGTACACCTAATATCTGTGCTGCCTCTTCGGAAATTGATGTTTTTTGTGACCCTTGATCAATAATAGCCCTTAATAATATGTGCTCACCATTCGCAGCTTTTGCTCTCACTTGGGCTGTGGCCAGAATAACCGTTCTTAGACCTGCTTTTGTGGACATTGCCGATTTCTTTTGAACGTTATCGAAGTGCAGGAGCTCATGAGGACTGCTGATGTTGCATATTTTACACTTCATATTGCTGGTACAAGTTTCTCCTAATTTGTGAAGCAGGCACCTGTAGCAGATTTTATTGTCTTTGGCATATTTATGTCTTTCATCCGTTGATATGCCCTTGAAACTTTGCATTCGGTTATATATAGATTCGGTATTTTGCAGTAAGTGCACTGCCTAAATTGTTTCCTCGTCGTTGGTCGACGTGTGATTCGCTTTAAATATGTGCTGCTTTCGGATTTTGTAGCCTTGCTCCTTTTCGGCTACAGCTTTCAATGTCTGGAAGTGTTGATCCAGAAAATTCTAAAATCAAATAATGTCTGCACCTCTCTGGTCTTTTTAACCGTTTGCTCATATAATTTGAGTCCATCTTTGTCTAACTTGCGAACTATGACTCGAGCAATAAATGGATCTGCGTTTTCAATTTTATTCCTAGTGACTTATTGCGTTAAGCACTCATTTGTAGTATCGAGCAATTGCCTTACGCTTTCAGCATTGTCACTATTTATCGGCGGTTGATCCATTATCCTGTCCCACTTTGTTGTGAATAAAATACGTTTATTATCGTATCTTTGTTTAAGCAGACTCCACGCTGCTTCATAATTTTCGGTTGATATTTGCAGATGTTGTATTAACCTTGCAGCTTCACCCTTCAAACAAAGGCGAAGGCGTAACATTTTTTCTGAGCTTGATAATTGCTCATTTTTGTGAACCATATCCTGGAACACATTGTGGAAATTAGCCCATTCTTTTATCTCGCCATAAAATATTGGAATTTTTAATTTTTCCAATTCCAAATTGGGGCGATAATTTATTTTTGGCTCTTCTTTCACTAAACATCCAAATGCCCCAGATTTTCAAAATATTCCGCTACTACCTTCTCATAGGCATCTTCAATTTCAGCATTGTAGTATTTTGAAAAATCATTCGCGTACGCATTTTTGATGTCGTTATATAAACTTTCCAAATATTTAATTTGGTTATTACCGATCGCGCTCTCGAAGGCATATCAGTCATTTTGGTTGTTATTGTTTGAATTTTCTTCATGAAAATTGCAGTTTTTGGGTCATTCTACCCATGCTTGTTGTTGTGCTGCTGTTGTTGGCTTTGCGGCATGCGGTTATCTGCTAAAGAAGTATGCTCTTTTCTTGGTTGAAATACAGTTCATCACTAAGGGAGTGTTTGAACCCTTGAATTACTTCGTCAATTTGCATTCTTATGGCACTGTATTTATCTTGCGTGAAATAATCCTCATTGCCTACGCCATCCACCAAAAGTTTCTCGTTGTTGGGTCCAATTCCTTTTGGAGCTTTTCTACTGCTTTTACCACCTCCTCGGCCTTCGACCTAGTTACTATTTTTCCTGCTACATTATTGTATATCTGCAGTACTTTTTCACTAATGTCCATCTGGGATTCAAGAATTTTTCCTCTGTTTATTCCCATGTTGTTTTTTTTTTATTTTTAATTTTTACTATTCAAAAATAACACTGAGCACTAGACACTTCACTTTTTTATTTTTAGATTTGTTATTCTCCAAAGGAATCGTTGGAGGAAATTGGTTTGGTCGCCCGGTTGACCTTGCTGTGCCTCGACTCACAGCTAAATTCCAGGTTTGGTTACTGCCAATTGATTTCCAATTGGTATATTCTTTTGTTTAATTATTCCAGACAAAATCCAACCGAATTTGGTAGCTTGTGCAAGAACTCCATTGTGCTTTTTTATGCCTCTTTCTATTATTCTGCCGAATATATCACCACCAATCACCATGTCAATTCTATCAGCTTTGTTAAATAATGGGTCAGCAAGAGTGTAGTTTTCCCATTTTTTAAAGTTGAACCTGAAGGATTGATCAGGTTGCGAAGTTGTAAGGGTTGATAA